CGAACAGGACTAAATCTTTTATCAAGTCCCTAAAGGACAAAAGAGGCACAATACCGTGCTGGAACAATACACAAATAATCTATTTACAAAGTCACACTGTGACTTTGTAAATAGTCGTAAGCTTCTCTCTCCTATAAGCGGATTATTTGTATATTTATCAAGTCCCGTTTGTGAAATATGAGCCCACTATGTGGGCGAAACGCTCTTAATATAGGATCTCATTACGTTGGTTTTATGCCTCTTTTCCTCCACCTTGTTAGTATTTTAGGTCATTTTTCTCCACGTGAGTTATTACGAATTCATGGAAAAAGCTAGAGGAGGGGGGAGGTTTCTTCAGTTCCTTGGACCAAGAACCCTTCACCGGCATCAAGGTGCCTTACCTCAGTCCATGAAACGATTTAATATGTACAATATAAATGAATTTATTAGAGGCTGTTTTTTATTTTTTTGTCGAAATAGGTAAAACTTTCGATACAATGGACTAGCGGTAGCCTAGTCACCCTGAGTGTCCGGTAAATCCGAATTATGTTAAAAAATAACATTGACGGCACTAAAATTATTATTTTTTTTTTGGTTAAATACTTTCTTTTTTCTCAGAAAATCCTGTGGCCTAGAGTGCAGGTCGACACCGTAGGTGACGACAATAAGTGTAAGTGCGTTTATGTATTCAAGTGTATTTTGCCACTCAAGTGTATCCGTGTGCCTAAGTGTATGTGTGTACTCAAGTGTATTCATGTATTTAAGTGTATCTAATGTAGTCAAATGTATCACGGTGCTAAAGTTACTGTGTAGTATTGTATCATAATAATAATAATAATAATAATAATAATAATAATAATAATATAATAAATAATAATAATAATAATAATAATAATAATAATAATAATATTATTATTATTATTATTATTATTATTATTATTATTACTATTATTATTATTATACTATTCTTAGCGAAATCTATAATCTATGGAGTCACATACTGCCTAGAAGGGAAGGATAGCTCCAATTCTTTGGATCAAGGACCCTCACTGGCACTCACCACTGAATATTGTTCTTTGTGTTCAGGCTGTGTATTGGGAGGACAGATGTACGATGAAGGCGCCGTGGTGGCAACCAGTCCCTGCGTCAGCGTCTCCTGCAGGGCCAGCAGGTGGCTCTCTACTTATACACTACAGAACTGTGAGTTTCACTTTCCTAGTTACCAGTGTTGCTATGGGATACGGTGATAGACACCCTGCTAGTTACTAGTGTTGCTCTGGGGTAATGATAGATACCCTGCTAGTTACTAGTGTTGCTCTGGGGTAATGATAGATACCCTGCTAGTTACTAGTGTTGCTCTGGGGTAGTGATAGACACCCTGCTTGTTACCAATGTTGCTCTGGGATACTTGAACTGATATGGTAATCCTGACAAGTTGAGCGAAGAGCCGCGTGTGCACTGATTTAGACATTTAATTAGGCAAACGTTTCGCCTGAAGTATATCTTCTGTATTAGGATTAAAGAATCCACTCATGGCTTCTGGACTAGGACTGAGTTTCACCCCGAGTGACATGCATTAGCACCGAAGAAGCTCTTCGTGGCGAAATGTCTTAAATGCCTTAATCCCTGAGAAGGAATGTCTCTTTCCATTAGTTTGGGGTAACTGGGCATCTTGTAACGATGACAGTGTTCTGAAATCTTCAAGATCTGTTGAGAATTGTTGAGCACAATCAGTTGCGATTGCAAAAAAAGTAGCCTTTAATAACCTTATACTGAAGAGAGTGCCAAGCCCATCGTTGTCTTGTAGCAAATAGGGAATGGCAGGTATTATGTCTGACTTGATGGTTGGTTAATGGAGTTTAAGGGCTGTGGACTACACTATGTTAAGGGCTAAGAACTACACTAAGTAAAGGGCTGTGGAGTACACTATGTTAAGGGCTAAGAACTACACTAAGTTAAGGGCTGTGGAGTACACTATGTTAAGGGCTGTGGACTACACTATGTTAAGGGCTATGAACTACACTAAGTTAAGGGCTGTGGACTACACTCTGTTAAGGGCTATGAACTACACTAAGTTAAGGGCTGTGGTTTACACTAAGTTAAGGGCCTGTGTTTGGTTAGTTTAATGTATTTATTATGCACTCCACACCCATGGTGTGGGAGGTAGTCAAAAGGTTACAGAGGCACATAATGGGTCTAGAGACTGGGCCGCAAAGTTATGATAGTTAAACGAGTTACAGTGGTAACTAACTATTTATGTATTTATATTTGGTTACAATTGTGTGTCTGCTGCACGCCGTTTTCTTATTTCTTGTTTATCGTCCGATTTTATCCATTTTTTTCCTAGTTTCTTATATGTTAAATAAAAATGGAAATCGACAATCATAGGAAAAAAAAAATTCACTACTTAAATACCATAGGCCTTTTCTCCCTATTTATAACCCTAAAGGTGAGGTATTCTTCTCCATCGGCGACCCCCACATCAAGACCTTCGATAACACCATCTACAACTACTACGGCAAGTGTAACTACACCATCGTGCAGAAGGGGTGTACGGGACCCACCACCTCCCCCCCCTTCATCACCAGCTCCTTCAAGACGTGCAAGCCTCCCTTCAGGGAAGCAGCGTCTTGCAACGGGGAGGTGACCATCAAGCACAGTGCCGGCCTCACCGTCACCGTCTACGACAACGCTACGGTCACTGTGAGTTACGCTTGGTGAGAGAGACGAGTGCAACACAGGGCATCTTAGTTGACGAAAACATTTCGCCCGAGCCGCAGGCTTCGGGCGAAATGTTGTGTTGCAGATAAATAATGCAGAGAACCGGTAAGTTGATAAATTAGAAACATGCGCAATACCTGAGTATAATGTGGAAACGTTCAAGTGTTACAAGTGTGTCTAATTCAGGCCTTGTGTTGCACAAGTGTTTCACTCGTCAACTTGACTGTGTTGTACAATATCTATGATGTTGTTGACTTATCATGACGTCTTGTACCTTTTATTTCTTCATCTGGAAGTCCTAAATGCAGGTAATGCAGTGTCTGAGAAATGGGTAGCATTCAAACAGTGCCTGGGGAATGGGTAGCATTCAAACAGTGCCTGGGGAATGGGTAGCAATCAGATTGTGCCTGGGGAATGGGTAGCATTCAAACAGTGCCTGGGGAATGGGTAGCAATCAGATAGTGCCTGAGGAATGGGTAGCAATTAGACAGTAGATGGGGAATGGGCATCAATTGGGCAGTACCTGGGGAAATGGGTACTATTTAAGCAGAGTCTAGGGAATGGGTGGTGTTTAGAGCTGGGAAGGGGAAGACAACTTTATTTCTGCTCATCGAGGCACTAACTATCCTAGAAATTTTGATTTCATTACCTAAAAATCATATTTATTTATTAATTTAGCATTATTATTATTATTATTATTATTATTATTATTATTATTATTATTATTATTATTATTATTATTATTATTATTATTATTATCAAAACAAGCCTTAAATCATAATTTATTATTTTATTGCTCAATACTTTATTAAAAACACTTACAACACAAATGCATTTAGCAGGCAGATAGATGTCTAAACACCGATCGACACCATGCCCAACCCTTCAAGGGTAGGGTAGGTGCCTGAACCCGAGCTCTCAGCTCACAAGACTGTCATTCCCATTTGTCCCCTTGGGACGGGGATGACAGACCAGAGAGGCCTAGCTTGTGGCTAGGCCTGGGGACAGTTGGTCCCAAAGATGAGGAGGCACTTGTGCCTCCTCCTATGGGAGACTTAGGTCTCAGACACTCCCAAGACAGGGAGCCAAGGCCGGGCCACCACCTGGAAAAGGCCCGGGCCGGGAGAATACCGGCGAATCTTTAATAATAAATAATGTCTAAACACCTGTTTGTTACAGGTTAATAGTAACACGGTGGAGTTAATTACAGGTTGATGGTAACGCAGTGGATTTTCCGTACACTAAGGACACCCTCTTCATATGGCAAGAAGAATACCACGTTAATATTATCACCTTCAATGGTTTTTATGTAAGTTTTACTCGATATTTATAATTTTGAGTCTAATTAACATGTACTTGAAGTTTAAAATAAGAGAAAGGGATATATGATGCTTTATCGAAGAATATTCATGGGGCTATACAGCGACTGGGGAATGGGGAGCAATATTGAAGAATATTCATGGGGCTATACAGCGACTGGGGAATGGGGAGCAATATTGAATAATATTCATGGGGCTATACAGCGACTGGGGAATGGGGAGTAATATTGAAGAATATTCATGGGGTTATGCAGCGACTGGGGAATGGGGAGTAATAAGAAAGGGGACAAGATAAGTCCTACTCTTTCCTGAAATGAGACTGGTAAGCCAGCGGAAGGCCTCTGTCAGATGACTAAAAGCTCCAGTAAAAGTCATTATAGGATTAAGATCAGCGTCAGGAATCTATTGTCCTGTTTATACCTGGAGAGGGTTTCAGGGGTCAACGCCCCCGCAGCCCGGTCTGTGACCAGACCTCGCGGTGGATCAGGGCCTGATCAACCAAGCTGTAACTGCTAGCTGTACTTAAACTGACGTACAAATCGCAACCCGGCTGGTCAGGCACTGACTTTAGGTGCCTGTCCAGCGCCTTCTTGAAGACAGACAGGGGTCTATTGGTAATCCCTCTTACATATGCTGGGAGGCAGTTGAGCAGTCTTGGGCCCCTCACACTTATTGTGGTGTGTCATAGCGTACTTGTGGCGCCCCTGCTTTTCATTGGGGGAATGTTGTATCACCTGCCGAATCTTTTGCTTTCATAGGGAGTGATTTTCGTGTGCAAATTTGGTATTAATCCATCTATGATTTTCCAAGTGTATATTACCATGTATCTTTCTCTCCTGACGAATCTTACTTAATCTGGCCTTCCCTGAAAGGCTGTGAGGTATCCCTCTTTTTTTTAATGCTGGTGCATTGAGGAGTGTATAAGAAATGCTGGAGCAGGCGAATTGATATTCAAAGGAAGTTGGATATGTATCTCATTCATCTGGTCGGTTTTGTATACAACGTGTCTCCCCCCCCCTCCCCCCGCAGGTGAGTTACAGCAAGAACGTGGTGCTGCCGTCGTTCTACGTGTATGCACCAGCCAGCGAGATGAACCAGGGATGGTGTGGTCTCAGTGGGACTTACAACGGTGTGGCGGCCGATGATTTCACCGCTCGTGGTGGAGCGCTGACTGACTTGGCGACCTTCGCCGCCTCCTGGAATGTGAGTGATGAGTTTTTTGCATTTTGGGCAGTGCTTTGTTATTATTAATTATTATTATTATTATTAATAATAATTATAATTATTATTAATTGTAATTATTATTATTATTATTATTATTATTATTATTATTATTATTATTATTATTATTATTATTATTATTATTATTGCTGTTATTATTATTATCATTATGGAATACCTTTCTGTTACAGACTCAAGAGTACAACAGCGGTGACAGATGCACAGACCTGCCTGAAAGTGCAAAGTCGCTGTGCAGCACCGAGCTACAGCAGAAGTATACTTCTGACTGTGAATCCATTCTCCAGGTCGGTAACGACCACTGTCCCCTTAATAACCTTGCACTGTGCTGTTATAGCTGACATTTCGTGCAGAACAAACACACGTTCAGGCTTAATGTTGACTTAGTGATTGCTTCTCGTAGTCAGAGAGGGGGAAGAGAGATGGTTAGCGTGTGTCTGCGTGTAGGTCATGGCCGGGATGACTGATAAGGGATAATGAAGTCATTTTGTCGTTTAGTGGAAATGTGTTCAGATATGATAAACTAAGAAACGATAAACTATAACTTAGCATAAAAGACAAATCATAATAACTATCAATGAACGAAATAAAGAATAGATTGATAGATCGTTAAACATTATTATTATTATTATTATTATTGTTTTTATTATTATTGTTAGCAGTAGTGGTAGTACTTATATTGTTATAACGTACACCTTGTTCAAGCTAGAATCTATAAAAGTTCAACTTTACAAAACTTAATGAGAAGCAGTGGATTCGACTATACTTCACTAGTTCACTGGCTCTGGGAGAATTGTTCCAGCCACGGTATCGTAACTTTCTGTTCATCGCGAACATCGCTAACTAATGGTACCATTAAGCTTCTCAGAAGGAAGTTGTACCAGTTTGGGGACAGTTTATTTCTCAATCTGGCAAAGCAACTTTGTCTCTCCTACTCACATTTCTCTCTTTCTCTCTCACATACACACTACAATGCATATTCCTCCATTGAATCAGTAACTGATACACTACAGCTGGTGACGGACGACTGCAACGCCACGACCGCAACGCTGGAGTCGTGTTTGGAAGACATGTGTGGCTGTGACGCCGGTCAGGAAGACATTTGTCTCGGCAACATCAAACATGCGGTCGAGCTGAAATGCGGTAAGCTGAAGTTTTATATACAGTTGCCCTTCCTCACTGGCAGACATAGCACGTGAGATAACAAGCAGACACAACATGCAGGATAACAAGCAGACACAACACATAGGATAACAAGCAGACACAACATGCAGGATAACAAGCAGACACAACACACAGGATAACAAGCAGACACAACATGCAGGATAACAAGCAGACACAACATGCAGGATAACAAGCAGACACAACACACAGGATAACAAGCAGACACAACATGCAGGATAACAAGCAGACACAACACACAGGATAACAAGCAGACACAGCACACAGGATAACAAGCAGACACAACACACAGGATAACAAGCAGACACAACACACAGGATAACAAGCAGACACAGCACACAGGATAACAAGCAGACACAACACACAGGATAACAAGCAGACACAACACACAGGATAACAAGCAGACACAACACACAGGATAACAAGCAGACACAACATGCAGGATAACAAGCAGACACAACACACAGGATAACAAGCAGACACAACACACAGGATAACAAGCAGACACAACACACAGGATAACAAGCAGACACAACACACAGGATAACAAGCAGACACAGCACACAGGATAACAAGCAGACACAACACACAGGATAACAAGCAGACACAACACACAGGATAACAAGCAGACACAACACACAGGATAACAAGCAGACACAACACACAGGATAACAAGCAGACACAACACACAGGATAACAAGCAGACACAACACACAGGATAACAAGCAGACACAACATGCAGGATAACAAGCAGACACAGCACACAGGATAACAAGCAGACACAACACACAGGATAACAAGCAGACACAACACACAGGATAACAAGCAGACACAACACACAGGATAACAAGCAGACACAGCACACAGGATAACAAGCAGACACAACACACAGGATAACAAGCAGACACAACACACAGGATAACAAGCAGACACAACACACAGGATAACAAGCAGACACAGCACACAGGATAACAAGCAGACACAACACACAGGATACAAGCAGACACAACACACAGGATAACAAGCAGACACAACACACAGGATAACAAGCAGACACAACATGCAGGATAACAAGCAGACACAACACACTGTAAAATGTGATATTAATTACCACTAATTTTTTAACCTGAGATAACTTATTACATTTAACATAAAACGAAGATGAGTTAATTTTTCTTATTTAGCAAAGACCAGGATGGTGATGTCTGCCCCGGGAACACCTGCACCAACACCTGCCCCGGGAACACCTGCACCAGGAGCACCAGGAGCACCTGCACCAGGAGCACCTGCACCAGGAGCACCAACACCTGCACCAGGAGCACCTGCACCTGCACCAGGAACACCTGCACCAAGAGCACCTGCACCAGGAACACCTGCACCAGGAGCACCTGCACCAGGAGCACCTGCACCAGGAGCACCTGCACCAACACCTGCACCAGGAACACCTGCACCAGGAGCACCAACACCTGCACCAGGAGCACCAACACCTGCACCAGGAGCACCAACACCTGCACCAGGAGCAGCTGCGCAAGGGGCACCTGCACCAGGAACACCTGCACCAGGAGCACCTGCACCAGGAGCACCTGCATCAGGAACACCTGCACTAGGAGCACCTGCACCAGGAGCACCTGCACCAGGAGCACCTGCACCAGGAACACCTGCACCAGGAACACCTGCACCAAGAGCACCTGCACCAGGAGCACCTGCACCAGAAGCACCTGCACCAGGAACACCTGCACCAGGGGCACCTGCACCAGGAACACCAGCATCAATAGCAGCTTTACCAGGAACACCTGCACCAGGATCACCTGCACCAGGAGCACCTGCACCAGGAGCACCTGCACCAGGAGCACCTGCACCAGAAGCACCTGCACCAGGAACACCTGCACCAGGGGCACCTGCACCAGGAACACCAGCATCAGTAGCAGCTTTACCAGGAACACCTGCACCAGGATCACCTGCACCAGGAGCACCTGCACCAGGAGCACCTACACTAGGAACAGCTGCACCAGGAACAGCTTCAAAAGAAGCACCTGCTCCAGGAGCAGCTGCACCAGGAACACCTGCACCAGGAACAGCTGCCCCAGGAGCAGCTGCTCCAGGAACACCTGCACCAGGAGCACCTGCACCAGGAACACCAGCATCAGTAGCAGCTTTACCAGGAACACCTGCACCAGGATCACCTGCACCAGGAGCACCTGCACCAGGAGCAACTGCACCAGGAACAGCTGCACCAGGAACAGCTGCACCAGGAGCACCTGCTCCAGGAGCACCTGCACCAGGAGCACCTGCACCAGGAGCACCTGCACCAGAGGCACCAACACCTGCACCAGGAGCACCAACACCTACACCAGGAGCACCAACACCTGCACCAGGAGCACCTGCACAAGGGGCACCTGCACCAGGAACACCTGCACCAGGAGCACCTGCACAAGGGGCACCTGCACCAGGAACACCTGCACCAGAAGCACCTGCACCAGGAACACCTGCACCAGGGGCACCTGCACCAGGAACACCAGAATCAGTAGCAGCTTTACCAGGAACACCTGCACCAGGATCACCTGCACCAGGAGCACCTACACCAGGAGCACCTGCACTAGGAACAGCTGCACCAGGAACAGCTGCAACAGGAGCACCTGCTCCAGGAGCAGCTGCACCAGGAACACCTGCACCAGGAACACCTGCACCAGGAGCACCTGCACCAGGAACACCAGCATCATTAGCAGCTTTACCAGGAACACCTGCACCAGGATCACCTGCACCAGGAGCACCTGCACCAGGAGCACCTGCACCAGGAACAGCTGCATCAGGAACAGCTGCACCAGGTACAACTGCACCAGGAGCATCTGCTCCAGGAGCACCTGCACCAGGAACACCTGCACCAGGAGCACCTGCACCAGAAATACCTGCACCAGGAGCACCCGCACTAGGAGCAGCTGCACCAGGAACATCTGCACCAGGAACACCTGCACCAGGAACACATGCACTAGGAGCCCTTGTACCAGGAACACCAGCATCAGTAGCAGCTTTACCAGGAACACCTGCACCAGGAACCCCTGCACCAGGAGCACCTGCACCAGGAGCACCTGCACCAGCAATACCTGCATCAGGAACACCTGCAACAGGAACACCAGCACCAGTAGTAGCTGCACCAGGAGCACCAGCACCAGGAGCACCTGCACCAGAAGCACCTGCACCAGGAACACCTGCGCCAGGAACATCTGTACCAGGAGCACCTGCATCAGGAACACCTGCAACAGCAGCACCTGCACCAGGAGCACCTGCACCAGGAGCACCAGCACCAGGAGCGCCTACACCAAGAACACCTGCAGAAGGCGCACCAACACCAGGAGCACCAGCACCAGGAGCACCTACACCAGAAACACCTGCCCCAGGAGATCCTGCACAAGGAGCACCAGCACCAGGAGTACCTACACAAGGAACACCTGCACCAGGAGCACCAGCACCAGGAGCACCTACACTAGGAACACCTGGTCCAGAAGCACCTGCACCAGGAGCACCTGCACCAGGAATACCTGCACCAGGAGCACCTGCACCAGGAGCACCAGCACCAATAGCACCAGCACCAGAAGCACCAGCACCAGGAACACCTGCACCAGGAGCACCTACACTAGGAACACCAGCACCAGGAGCACCTGCACCAGGAGCACTAGCACTAGGAGCACCAGCACAAGGAACACCTGCACCAGGAGCACCTGCACCAGGAGCACCAGCACCAGAAGCACCAGCACCAGGAACACCAGCACCAGGAGCACCTTCACTAGGAACACCAGCACCAGGAGCACCTGCACCAGGAGCACTAGCACCAGGAGCATCTACACTAGGAACACCTGCACCAGGTACTCCTGCGCCGGGAGCAACAGCACCAGTAGCACCAGCACCAGGAACACCATCACCAGGAGCATCTACACTAGGAACATTAGCACCAGGAGCACCTGCACCAGGAGCACTAGCACCAGGAGCGCCTACACCAGGAACACCTGCACCAGGAGCACATGCCCCAGGAGCACCAGCTCCAGGAGAACCTACATCAGGAACATCTGCACCACGAGCACCTGCACCAGGAGCACCTGCACAAGGAGCACCTGCACCAGGAGCACCTGCACCAGGAGCACCTGCACCAGGAACACCTGCACCAGAAACACCTGCACCAGGAATACCTGCACCAGGAGCACTTGCACCAGGAACACCTGCACCAGAAACCCTTATGTCAGGGGCACCTGCACCAGGAGCACCTGCACCAGGAGCACCTGCACCAGGAGCACCTGCACCAGGAGCACCTACACCAGGAGCACCTGCACCAGGAACACCTGCACCAGGAGCCCCTGCACCAGGAGCACCTGCACCAGGAACACCTGCACCAGGAACACCGGGTGCTAGGTGTGTTGACCCGAATGGACTCGCACACAAGCACTCTGAGCGAGTACTCTTTAACTGCAAGGTGAACATCTGTCGCAACGGCGCATTTGTACTCATCAAGGATGCCGGAGACAAATGTAAGAACTGCAGACACTTGTACCAGAGTATGTGTGAGCCAGCTAGATCATGTGTGAGTCAGCTAGGACATGTGTGAGTCAGCTAGGACATGTGTGAGTCAGCTAGATCGTGTGTGAGTCAGCTAGGACATGTGTGAGTCAGCTACATCATGTGTGAGTCAACTAGATAATGTGTGAGTCAGCTAGATCATGTGTGAGCCAACTAGATCATGTGTGTGTCAACTAGATCATGTGTGAGTCAGCTAGATCATGTGTGAGTCAACTAGATCATGTGTGTGTGTCAACTAGATCATGTGTGTGTCAACTAGAACATGTGTGAGTCAACTAGAACATGTGTGAGTCAACTAGATCATGTGTGAGTCAACTAGATCATGTGTGAGTCAACTAGATCATGTGTGAGTCAACTAGATCATGTGTGAGTCAACTAGAACATGTGTGAGTCAACTAGATCATGTGTGAGTCAGCTAGACCATGTGGGAGTCAGCTAGATCATGTGTGTGTCAACTAGATCATATGTGAGTCAGCTAGATCATGTGTGAGTCAACTAGATCATGTGTGAGTCAGCTAGATCATGTGTGAGTCAACTAGATCATGTGTGAGTCAGATAGATCATATGTGAGTCAACTAGATCATGTGTGAGTCAGCTAGCTCATGCGTGAGTCAACTAGATCATGTGTGAGTCAACTAGATCATGTGTGTATCAACTAGATCATGTGTGAGTCAGCCAGATCATATGTGAGTCAACTAGATCATGTGTGAGTCAGCTAGATCATATGTGAGTCAACTAGATCATGTGTGTGTGTCAACTAGATCATGTGTGTGTCAACTCGAACATGTGTGAGTGAACTAGAACATGTGTGAGTCAGCTAGATCATGTGTGAGTCAACTAGATCATGTGTGAGTCAACTAGATCATGTGTGAGTCAGCTAGATCATGTGTGAGTCAACTGGATCATGTGTGAGTGAGCTAGATCATGTGTGAGTCAACTAGATCATGTGTGAGTCAGCTATATCATGTGTGTATCAACTAGATCATGTGTGAGTCAACTAGAACATGTGTGAGTCAACTAGATCATGTGTGAGTCAGCTAGATCATATGTGAGTCAGCTAGATCATGTGTGTGTCAACTAGATCGTATGTGAGTCAGCTAGACCATGTGTGAGTCAATTAGATCATGTGTGAGTCAGCTAGATCATGTGTGAGTCAACTAGATCATGTGTGAGTCAGCTAGATCATGTGTGAGTCAACTAGATCGTATGTGAGTCAGCTAGATCATGTGTGAGTCAACTAGATCATGTGTGAGTCAGCTAGATCATGTGTGAGTCAACTAGATCATGTGTGAGTCAGCTAGATCATGTGTGAGTCAACTAGATCATGTGTGAGTCAACTAGGTCATGTGTGAGTCAACTAGATCATGTGTGAGTCAGCTAGATCATATGTGAGTCAACTAGATCATGTGTGAGTCAGCTAGATCATGTGTGAGTCAACTAGATCATGTGTGAGTCAGCTAGATCATGTGTGAGTCAACTAGATCATGTGTGAGTCAGCTAGATCATGTGTGAGTCAACTGGATCATGTGTGAGTGAGCTAGATCATGTGTGAGTCAACTAGATCATGTGTGAGTCAGCTATATCATGTGTGTATCAACTAGATCATGTGTGAGTCAGCTAGATCATGTGTGAGTCAACTAGATCATGTGTGAGTCAGCTAGATCATGTGTGAGTCAGCTAGATCATGTGTGAGTCAACTAGATCATGTGTGAGTCAGCTAGATCATATGTGAGTCAACTAGATCATGTGTGAGTCAGCTAGATCATGTGTGAGTCAACTAGATCATGTGTGAGTCAGCTAGATCATGTGTGAGTCAACTAGATCATGTGTGAGTCAGCTAGATCATGTGTGAGTCAACTAGATCATGTGTGAGTCAGCTAGATCATGTGTGTGTCAACTAGAACATGTGTGAGTCAACTAGATCATGTACAAGGACGTGTTCTATCTGACTCACACATGCTCTAACTGGCATACGTAAGCCAGCTAGAACATGTGTAAGTCAATTTGAAAAAGTGTGTGTGTGTATGACAGTCACGCATCATGTATGACTACAAGGATATTCTGAAAGTGAGGAATTCTAAAAGTTTGGGAGAAATTCTGAGATTAAGAGAGAAATTATTAAACCTTCCTTATCAACAAAGTAAATCTTATCCTCAGTAGATATTAATGACCAATTATCTCTTGTACTTTACAGATGATTTTTTTTTCATTTCAAGCCTAAGCTGGCAAAGTTAGCATTATATTACTGTTATCTCTGTCTTGTAGACTCTTCACCTCTTTTTTCTTTCTAGGATTCCCGTGTACTAACGCTAGCATTTCTATTTTGAAACTCACAGGATGTTTTCTAACTCTGTGATTCTGATTTTTGCAGGTTGTAAGGATCGAGACGTCCAAAACTATTATAGAAATGGAGAGAAATACCAAAAAGGCACAGGCTTGGAGTGCATGTCCTATATATGCATCAATAGTCAAGTCATATCTCTAGGACCGTGTGTGTAAAAAGAAAAAAAAAAGTGATGTGAGCCACTGTGTCCCTCCTCAGGTGGCTACAGCTCTGACCAAGGCACTAATTACTACTAATTACTACTACATGATCTATCACACGGGTTATAAAACTATCTGTTGAAGCCACGGACACTTCTTTCTTAGTTTTTGTTGCAAAATATATATCTGGAACTTTATCAGACGAAAGAAAAAAGCTTTATCCCCCCCCCCAGGCATTATCAGGGAAGCTGGCGCTACGAATGTGTGCATTGAACATCTTTTGTTATCAACTTATTTCATTATTATTTTATAGAATAATCTAAGTTAACTGCGGAAAACAATATTAAGACTGTTGACACCTGTCAACCTAGCGAGGATCAACCTAGTTTTGACACCTGTCAACCTGGGGAGGATCAATCTAATTTTGACACCTGTCAACCTGGGGAGGATCAATCTAATTTTGACACCTGTCAACCTGGGGAGGATCAATCTAATTTTGACACCTTTCAACCTGGGGAGGATCAATCTAATTTTGACACCTGTCAACCTGGGGAGGATCCCGTCCTGGAGGACAGGAAGGAGAGGGGGGCGACATTATAACATAAAATACTGAGAGGAATTGATAAGGTGGATAGTGACAGAATGTTTCAGAAATGGGACACAACAACCAGGGAATCACAACTAGAAGTTGGAAGTTCAGAGGTGCATTATATGTAAAGTCTTATAAATAATATTGGAGATAAAAGGCATGTTGCTAACAATAGTGACGGAGGGAAGACAGTTCCCCGCACAGTGACTTTTGTTTGCAACTCTCTAAATTCCTGGCTAAAGACAGCCTTTACTAACCATCATTATGTGTATTTAAGAGCAATGAAAGATATTTAATAACATTAAGAACAGTTATAGCCGAGAGAGATAGAAATGGTAATATTCCTGCCTGATATACCAGAGGGAACAGTGACTGATCCTCCTGTGTTCAAGACATACGATTATTTTTCCCTGTGTCCGTGTGGATAAGGTAGGTTAAGTTTGTCAGGAAACAGGACAAGCATTTCCTGACCAGGGGCAGCACATAACCCACATTGATAGAGTTTCCCAAATCTCTGCAAACAGTCCTGAATCTGACACATTTCATCATTCACATTAAAATTTTGTAAATGTATCTCAAAGGCCTCAATCCAAACTTTGTTGTTACGGTTCCAGTCATTCTTTTATTAAAAAAAAAAAGAACAGTAACAGAATCATCTCTCCTCTTCCCAGAAAGCTCCCATGGAACCTAACAGGTTTCCGCAGAACCCGCTTGGTAAATCCTAAAGTTTGAATAGGCCGGATTAATACAGTATATAATCCTTCGACTGATATGAAATTTTCTCTCCTATAATAAGACTGCAAATAGCTGTTTAGTAACAGAGTCATCAAATAGAGGTACTCTCGTCTCTCTGGCTTAAAGCAAAATGTTTATATATACAGGAAGCAGATGAGTGCTACGTATATATATATATATATATAT